AGAGTTTATTTTTTTTTTGTGGTAGAAACTCTGCTGTCTAAATACTATGTTAAACAAACCGGAATTTGAGAAATTTGCAAGGTTTTAAATATTTTATTTTATTGTTTGTTGTTTTGTATTAACAGCGTGTATTGCTAAGTTTTTTCGTTGAACAATTGCATCAGTCTATCAATTCGAATGACGAATCATTTGTAGATAAATATGTAATTCGATTCCAGATAAAGAACAGATAACGAAAATCTTTTAAGCTTGTACAAAATACACATTTCAATGCTTCATTATGCGACCTATCCATAGTTATTAACGATAAGAGATTCTAAAACCAAACTCGTATTTTATAAATGTTATATAGTACCGCAATTCAGAGGATTTAGTTAATTAAGAGGTTTTCAATTTTCCGACTATGACGCACCTTACCAAAAGGATAAATAAATTTGAGCTATATTGAAGAAAGAATAAAGAATAAAGAAATCCAATTTTTTTATTACCCACAACTAGGATTTGAAACTAAAAAATTTGAAAAAATTTTCTAAAATATACCTGAGTATCTACAACGCGCTAGATTTTTTCCAGAATTTTTGCATATGATTAAATAGGGAAAATAGAGTGAAAACTGATAACCTGAATTTTCCCTGTTACTATCTTTCCGGTCGAGATAGAGCGTGGAAACTTGGCGTGAAATATTTTCTTTCGATTAGCTATCGAATGTCCATCGCACGACCAATTTGGTTCAGGTCACTTCCGACCCCCTTATCCGGCTATACCCTTTGTCAAAATATAAAGATTCTTTTCCTCCTAGGAGAGTTCACCGTAAATTCGTCGAGTAAAGAGATGCTAGCATGCCTCGAGGCCCTTTCACGTCCGGAAGCAAATAATTAACGCTCGTTACACGCTCGGTCAGTGAATTCGAATGAGTATCTAACGATCCTTCGGTCGATTTCACTTAGCCCTTTAACCCAGCCAGCAATTCTTTCCCAATTCGACGCGTAAAATAATTGAAAAACCGACCTTAAACAGAGCGTGGTCACATTGGAAATTAAAATTATTAAACGCTTATCACCGTTCAAGGTGTATTTGAACTTTTGAGCCATTGAAACAGAATTTTTTTCTCGTGTTTCAAGAACCTGTTTCCAACTGGGTGGACGCAAATTGTAAGCAAATGTAACGAGGCGTGTGCACGAAGCGTTTAAGTTGAAGCACTTTTGAAAATACCGAGCCATATCATTGTTTAAATGCCTTTGGGAACTGTTCCATTATTATTCGTACACAACAGAGCTTAGAAATTATTTATTATTACTATTAACTATATAGACAATACCCATTAATAATACAATTTATTATTTAATCATCTATACAATAGAGTAAATAAATTGTTCATTGCTTGAATTATAATAAAATCCTACTCCAGCAATAGATCATCTATTTACGACTGTCAAAGATATTTCGTCGTAATAGAAAGTTATCCAATGCAATAATCATTTCAATAACATTTTTCCCCTTTACCAATACAATGTTTAATCTAAAATTTACTAAATCAATATTTATTTAACACTGTTCAATACTAACCGCTACGCAGTTTACTTTTCAAACGATCGTAAAACCACGTTTAACCAATCATGAACGCGTATTCAATTAATGCGTCTTACCCAAAGAGCGCCATCTAAAATCTAAAGAAACAATTATAACTGCCCCCTATGTCTCGTCGCGGAACGAAAATTCCAACCTTTACCGCCGACAGGTCAAACTACGCTCCCACATAAAGTATACGCACGCACACGCCTACCTGAATGTATCCCAGCGTCCGCGTCGGCGTCCTCGAACACAGACGACTCGGTGCCCTCGTCGTTATCCGCGACAGAATCATCCGGTGTCTCGTCCTCCTTCGATTTCTCGCTGCTCGAACGATGATTCTCACTCCTCGCAGGCGTCGGGACGCCGCACTGGCCGTCGACCGACGCGTGCCTGCCTGTCGTCTTCACAAGCGTACTAGTGCTTCTGGCTAGTTTAGTGCTATGCGTTCTACGTATCAACAAGTTGGTAAACGTGGTACTTCCATTCTGTTTGCTCCTTGTCTCCGAGGAATTCACTCTGACAGCTCCGTTCGATTTCACGTCGAGATTCTTTGTGTTCGGACGTTTGTCCGTTTCGGTTTTCTTCTTCGACTCATCGTCTTCCACTTCGAAACACGCTATGGTATTGTTCAAACGGCTATCTTTCCTACTCGCATCTTTCCGACCGGTGAATCGACTTTGGAACCTCTCGATTGTCTTGAACGACCTGGTCCTCTCGACCTTTTTCCTCTGATCGGGGCCATTTGCCACCTGATCAGCCTTTGGCGTTTCGAAAATTTTCGTTAGAGACTGCACCTTGCCTCTGGCCTCGGGGAATGAGTCCCCCGAACGTTTCGAGTTTGACAGGGAATCGTTGTTGCTCAAGGTGCGCGTTAAAATCACGTTCGGTACGGTTTTCGAGGTGCTTATGGGAAATGTATTGCTAACGAACTTGTCAGACTCGGTGTTTATCGTCTTGGGAATCTTCGACGGCTGGCGTGTATCGGCGTCTAACGATACATAGAAGGTCGACCTCCGTTTCGGTGACTCCTCGATACTCTCTGCGTTCAACATGTCTCCGGCTATCACTCCGCTTACATGTCACGATTCACACTTTCCCTGTTCCGTTCCGATGATTATTACTCGACGATAATACGATAAATTCGAATCATGTTATCAGCACGAAGAATTTCATTGATCGCTTCGAAACGAGCTGTTACGCAATTATGGACGCGCCTTTAAGTCGCATCGAATCGTTAAAGACGTCACACGTTCACTGTTGTAAGTGAGGAAAGTTTACTTGAACACACCATATGTTACTCGCCATCGGTCCAGCGACCAATGGAGTTTCCTCAAATTCACCTTACTCTTCTTCACGCCGTGTACGGAGAGAGAAAGAGATTTCGAAGGGCCAAGAGGGCGTGCAGCGGTCGAGGGCGCTTCACGAATTTCTCTCTGCGAACGATTCCACTAAATATAGACAGCGACGTATCGTGGCGGCTCCCATGAGCACGTGTATCAAGAAAAACAAATACGCAGACCGTCCGCTGCGTACGCAGACCGTCGTCGTCGGTATAGATAATACCAAGCGCTGAACCGTAAACCGCGTTTTTACTATCGACCGATGTTTTCGTTCGGCTATCGTCACCGGTGACCTCTGTTGATCGGTCGATTCGAAGAATCCCCCCAGTGTACACAACCGATCTGTTCACAAATTCGACGATTGCAAAAACAGATATTACCAACGAGTTCACCGGCTGGGCACCTGTTAATCAACGGATTCGTGTTTCATTCGCGCACTAAATTTCTCTCGGTCGACAAGCATCGACGACGAGACACGAAACATCGTTCATACGACGATCAACACACAACAATAGTTCACACAAGGATACATGAAAACGCACAGTGTAGTCAGAAACGGGCAACTCGGTCATAGGAATGCATGAAATATCATCTCAACAGGCATGAACGTGCAACGACTTGCGCGACTCACTTTGCTCGCTTCGAAACAAATCGCGCGATAAAACGACGGGACACGGAATGAGAGCAGTGTTTTGTCGCGTGCACGGATACGTCGAACGCAATCGCCTCGATAGAACGGACTCGAAGTGGTCGACCAGGCAGCAGGAGGTACGAAGAAAAGTAAAAGGGTCTGAGTCACGACGACAGGATCGGGTTTGCTCGTGGTCCGGCGTGGCCGTCATTGTGTTCGAGGAATGCGCGCGAACTGACGGGATGAGCGGGCGGCATCTCGTATTTCTTTTTCCCAAGGACAAACACCCGAGCACTGTTTTACGAACGACACAGAAAACGGGGCGCGAATCACGGTGAAACGAAACGAAGAAGAAATACGGAAGCAGCGGCGTTGCACAAACGTCCGCACGGCAGACGGCTTCACGACTATCTGTTCGAGCCTCTACCGAACGTGACCTACAGCGCCACTGGCGGCCATTTCGAGCAAACACTCGAGACAACTCGTCGCCGCGTTTGTAGAGTGTAGAGAGATGGGATCAAGTGTGTCCTGGACGGTATTCGAAGCATTCTTTATTTACATAATATTGCAGTGTTAATTTCACCGTTATTTACGATACTGAACGGACGGATTGTTTTCTCTTTTTTTTTCTCGTTTCATATAGACGAGACGAAAGGAATCTTCGGTGTACACGATTAGAGAGAGATTCTTTCACGGTTCTAATTAGAATTGTGAGAATTTTAAAAGGAATATTAGATAAGATGCTGGGTCCTCGTAATGGCGGGTTTGAAAGTGACCACGCAAGACACAGCTAGAGAATATGGACTTTTATAATTAACCTTTCGCTGATAGGGTGGAATATTTGTTATGCAATTGGCGGAATGGGATCGATTCGGTCGGGTAATCGTTGCATGTGTATCATGTTTCACGAGTAATTATCTCCTACACTTTAAACACACTTCGGATATTACCATTGACTTGTCACAAAATATTCAGAGACAAATGAGAAAAATTAATAAAATTGTAAAATTTGTATACGAATATTTCACGATTTTTACAACTTTTAAGTACACGAAAACTGTAACCTTAAAATTCGTCGTAACTGCTGAAAAGTGTAGTGAAAGTAAACGAATGTAAGTGAAAGTAAAAGATGTAGTTGCACAATTTAATGGAATAAATTTTTACTACTAAACTGAATAAATACATCGCACTATTCTATGCTTCTAATTCTGTTTTTACACGTTTCAGACATTCGGACTTGGAACTTATTCAATTCCAATAAAACAACACACGGCCAGTAAATGGATTCAGATTCTCAAGTTACATTGAACTTGATTTCATCCTTATTGGAGCCCATTGCAGTCGATCAAGCTTCTATTTAGGAGGGGTTGCGTCGATGCCTTTCTTCGAGCCATCGCATAATACAAGAATCTAATTCCGTTTGCGATGTATAAGGATGAAATTCGCGTCACGTTCCAGTCGTCGATACTGTGTATCAATTACTGTCGGGTAGTTAGGCTAGTCTTGCTCCGTTCAGAAGCCGTATTTTTCTTTTACACTTCCGAATAAACAGTTATCTTGAAACAGTTACAATATTAATGGTGAAATAAAAATTATGAATTAAATTTTAACTAATAATTAATGATATTCTTGTAAATTTTAATAAGCTGTGAAATATTTTGAAATATTTATTTCTACCTTAAGCCTATTTCAGTTTTGATTATTGTATCATTTTTATCTAAACTCTGTAATATTTAAATAAATTACTCTACAGGACCTAAGAAATATTTTAATTCTTCCTAAATTTTCATATTAAAATTTTGATTCTTTTTTAAATTTTTAT